GGCCTTTGAGATACCATAACGCAAGCATAACCTAAAGGTAGTTGCAAAAACATGGTTAGAATGCTAGTAAGGGGTCAACTAAAACCAGTGATCACCAACATCACCAATCATCTAAATCAACTGCTTTACAACATTTTCAAGGTCACAGAAGATGATGCATCAAGGTGTAAACTACTAGGAATTTTTTATGAGGTATCAGACTTGGTAAGTATGGTAGATGTCAATTTTCTATTACCATTGGTCTCTAACATCATCAACCATCAAGCAAAGCTTCTTCCTACCATTTCTAAGGTCATAGAATTCAATGGACCAAGATTTGGAGCACTAGCAATTTTTTCCAAGGTTGTAGCCCATCTTCTCCTCCTCCCCTAGTACACAGCATATTAATATTTTGTAATATTGGCTGGAAATCATGTGTTTATAACACTACAGGGTACATACAGTTGTTTGTAAAAAATGCTAGGTGTTTCAATTGAGTTACACCATCTTAATATGGTAATACAGTAACATGAGATGATACTCAGTAAAATGAGCATAACTTATGTTTCTGACCACCAAATTCTTTAAAACATAGTGCAATAGAATCCCAGTGATCCATTCCATTAGATAAGACACCAAAAACAATGGGAAAAAGTGTGATGATATATATAATATACAGCCATAGGGTGTATAGTGCCCGAACGCGGCATATTGGGCGGAAATACCATTATGTGCGCGACGCAGTGAACGAGAAGAAGTGGGCCGTCGTGGACTATTGTCCAACTGGGGACATGGTTGCAGATATCATGACAAAAGCATTGCCAAAGGAGAAGCATCAAAGATTCACGAAAGCTCTTGGCCTACTACCTCGCTCGAGTGGGAGTGTCGATAATCGTTGATGTAATTGCGACCTCGGTAGTGTTGTTTGGTAATATTTGGACATTAGACGACATTAGCGTTACTCGTTCCTCGTTTTTATCCCTCAGTCGTTTCACTCAACGGCTGAGGTGAGCATCATATTCGTATAAAGCTATGCTAATCTGTACCTAGTGTTCGCGTTGTTAGGTACAGTATATTAATACAGTCGTTTCGCTCAACGGCTGAGTGTTCGCGTTCTTAGTTAACTTTGACCTTGTTAGACCTTACTTTGAAACCCACTATGGGCTCATCCTTTGGCAAAACGAAATACTTGATTAAGTATTGTTCTACTCGTCCCTTATTCTGCAATATATTTAGGCATAGGGTTGCGACAACCACTTACTTGGCTTCAGATCGGCGCGAGTGAGCACGGACATATCTACCATTGACAGTGTGGCCGTTTCCCCCTCTTAAGTATACGTATCGTGTTGAATTTCATGTGTAGGAAAGAGGAAATATAAACAACTACATCTATGCAATCTTGACAGTCTGAATGATATTTGTAAGCATAGACCAGCGGCCAGGAACAATAAACAGACGTACTTTGGCATACAACGAGTCTACGACCTTGCTAACTTGTTCCAGGGTCCCAATTGCTGCACCATACGTGTTCTGAAAAAAGGATGAGCATGAATGAGATGAGTGAGAAGAGAGGACACACGTCAGCTTCTAGCTCATCGAATACGATCAGGCATCCTCGTCCCTGATCCAGCACGCCGTGGAACACCTTGTCCAAGATCATCTGAGATAGCCTAAAACACGATATAAACTACTTTTCACAGAGACAATTCAATACGCACTTGGCCTCAACGTCCTGCCGTCCTTGCCCGACCTGTTTGGCAACGTAGTCAATCTCTACCACCGAGTACGGCTCAACGATACGCAGCAAATTCTGCTGGAGAAGGGTGTCGTAAAGCGCTGCAAGATGGGAGCGAATAGTGGAGTCGGACGAGAGTTCTGTGTAGCAATGACAAGTCAACAACAAGTTGTGTAAATGGAGTATAATATACCATGTTTGTAATCCCGAAGGGCCTTCTCGAAATCCGACAAGTTCCGATTCTGATGCGCAAGCGCTATGGCACGCATACTCTCGATCTCGCGGAGCTGAGCATATTTCACCGCGAGCTTGATAGAGAGAAGTGATGTTACATCTTCGGGCTGGAACACACATCAAAATGACTGACGAGTCAAGATCAGTGACAACACACCATATTCAACATGACCTTGCACAAAAGCATGTACTTGAGTGCGTTCAGCGCTGCTGGGTCATCCTGCGATGACATGTTCTCGAAAGTCTCGTAGAAATATGAGTATGCAGTAGTGTAATCTTTGTCCTCAGCATGGAGAACACCAGATTGGAGGTCTAACGCTGCTTGAAGATGAGGAGGACAATATATTGAGTTTGCAGCAGTCCTGGCGGAAGTAAGGGCAGCCTTTGCATTTCACGGACGTAAGGGCACATAATGAGAATACCGGGATGGCACCCGAAGGACTAACCTTGGACTTCGACAGGTTTCCAATGCCACGGTAGACGCGACTTTCGAGCAGGTGTACTTCGGTAAGAATCATCTTGTCATCTAACCTTTTCAACTCTGTCAAGAGTGCGTCAATTCGCGTCAAGGCTAACTTGTACTGCAGTGCTTCAAGCTGCCTGTACCAATGATCAGCATTGTCGTAAGAAGTAGAAGCGTTCCTTACAGGGAAACGAGTCGAATTTCCAAACTATGTTTGAGGAATATGCGCTTTTCGCGCTTTGACCACTCAATATTGTCGGTGAGGACATCGATCTGGGTTTGCCGGCTGTTAGGAATAGAGTTAAAGTAATTAAGAAGCGTGCGGACTACAGGAAGACATTAACGAAGTATACCAGGTCAAGAACAGAAGGCACTCACTCAGCTTAGCAGTCTTTGCCTTGGCAGTTGAAGACATGAATGATCTCGAGAGTGTGATGACTTGCGCTAAGCCACTGGCATCTCTGTCTGGAGTGAGGCTTGCGTAAAACAACAGACTTTGCAAGACTCACTTTTGATCTCGATAGAGCTCGGCGAGTTTTATCAAGGCTAACTCTTGGTCACGCAAAGACTGTTCTTTGTCGGCATTAATTGCCGATCCCTTGGAGGTTGATGCTGAGAGCATGATTAGCACCAGTCAAGACATACACTGTTCAGCACACCCGTAGAATTCAATATTTGTTTGTAAAGCTCCTCTGCACGCTTTGGGCTAGAGGACGTGAGATCTGCGGCTTGCTTGAGGAGGTCTTGAGTAGATGCCATGGTTCAGTGTTAGCTACGGCTATGGTACTTCGATGGTATTATAGTAGAAAGCGTTCATAGGTGTGACGCGTCTTCACACCGTGGGAATATGAACTTGTAAGACTGACGCGTCGAAGGTAAGCCAAGGAAAGCTCCCTAACACTGACAGCCATGGCAGAAGAAATCATTCCGATACCAAATCTCAGCCTCCCGCAGCACCTGTTCACTCTTATCTCACCAACGCTCGTGCAACTTCATGACAATGCAAGAAAACAATTGCTTGAAGGAATCAAGGCAGACAGTAAGTAATGAGATCATCTTAATGTTATTGACTTGATCTGTGGTGTATGCAGAAATGTCGCCGTATTATAAGTTAGTAATATCTGCAGGTGCTCTAACGCCTGACTCTGCGTTGCTCGAATCGATGGAGAAAGATAATGAAGAAGAGCTCAAGAAGCTAGACGAGAGACTGGCAGAGGCGGAGAAGCAAGAAGGAGAATCTGAGATATCAGACGCTTTGAAAGCCAGAGCCAATCATCTAACTCGAATTGGTGACAAGGTACGTCTCTCCTATGCCAAGTCATACAGGTACTGAAGATTATCCATACATAAAGGAAGGCGCAGTCGCAGCGCAAAAGCTTGCCCTTGAGAAAACACCTGGCCTTGGCTCGAGGATAGATATTGTGCTCACTCTCATCCGACTAGGATTTTTCTTCGGTGATAATGGCCTTATCACTGAGAACCTCCCCAAAGCAGAAAGGTGCGCTATCGCAAAGCTTTACCGCGACATTGAATCGACATATCATCCAGATTCATCGAGGAGGGTGGTGACTGGGATAGGCGTAATCGTCTAAAGGTTTACCGCGGGCTCCACATGATATCCATCCGCCAGCTTAAAGCTGGTGGCGCACTTCTCCTTGATGCACTATCGACATTCACTGCCACTGAACTCACAACGTACAACGACTTCGTCGCTCTCACCATCATCATAAACGCTCTCACTCTCAAACGAGTAGACCTCAAGAAACGGGTATGCTCGTTCTCCTAATATTTCTCACTGCTGATCATATTTTCTGTAGCTCATCACCGCACCAGAGGTTATCTCCGTTTTGCCCGAAATTCCGATCCTTGGAGACCTCTTAAACAACCTTTACGACTGTCATTACGCAAAATTCTTTGTCGCACTCGGTACGTTTTTTTCATACTTACAATCCACTTCCGAGGCCCTTGTCTAGCCTCACATTATACTTGTATTCCCACAGCGACCCTTGAGCAGACGTATCTCCTGCCCTCGCGACTCCTTTCGCCTCATACCCGCTACTATGTACGAGAGATGCGCATCTTGGCATACAGCCAACTGCTGGAGTCCTACCGCAGCCTTACTCTTGAAAGTCTTAGTGGTGCATTCGGCGTCAGCGTCGAGTTTGTCGACAGGCATGTATTACCTGCACGTACATATCCCTTGTCTCTGAGCATCTCTTCTAGTGAGCTCTCACGGTTTATTGCCAACGGGCGTCTGCATTGCACCATCGACAAGGTGCACGGCATTGTGGAGACGACGCGGCCATCGCTCAAGAACGCACAATACGACAAAGTCATAAAGCAAGGCGATGTCTTGTTAAATTCAATACAAAGATTGAGCAAAGTACTGTACTAGTACTTTATGTCTTGTCTCAGTGTTTCGTGTACTTAGACAGTATTGTACTCATGACACATAAAGGGTGCACAGTCACGACTTGGGCACATTCAAGTCGTTCCTGTCATCAACATGGACATCCTTTCGGACCTTGAGTATCTTCGTATGTAGGTCCATTAGTGCATTGACATCATGGTGTTCACTGTTTACGGTGGGTCGAATGTTTGCTTCCGTGAGACGACGCCGAAGTTCACACCGTGTGCTACTACTTCTCATGGCAAACTTGACAAACGTTACCACTAGCCGTCGAGCGCTGCTCACACTGATCCCCGTCTCATTGGCTGCAGGCTTGACATATTGGTTATCGTGGCGCACAACAAGCAGCAAGGCAAGCTTATGCACGACCATGACCACCGAGCCGCACAACGCCAGACAGCATCCTACATACTGGTTCAACGATGGCTCCATCGTCATTCGATCACGCAGCATGAGCAATAAGGAGGTTTGCTTCAAGTTGCATGGGAGTTTACTGCGTCGACAATCCCGCTTTGTTCAAAGGATGCTTGATAGCGAGATCAGCGCCGACTCTGAAGTATTGATTCCACCAGAACTCGGTGTTCAAGTTCAAGATTTGACAGCGCTGCTGGAGCATCTATACCATGATACGTGAGAGCATTCTGTCGTGGTGGAACTGACAGAAAACAATCTTGATGCTCCTGCAGCCCTCTTTCCGCTCAAGCACCCTTCTCGCATGTTGCGGCGATCCTGCGTGTCTCTTCCCCAGATCAGCTTGATTTGCCTGGTGTGCACATGTCAGCACGGGCTTACTTTGTGTCGATGTTTCCACAGGGGCCTCAGCCATTCGCACATCCTAGGAACCATCTAGAAGAGGCACTGGCACTTGCGCACTCGTATCAGATTCCCTCGGTGAGTTCATCTCCATTCTGTCATACTTGTGTTTTTGTTAGGTTCCTTTTTGTTGTTGCGTTAGTGAATGGAATCATTATGAAAAGCAAGCTTCTTTGGATACGCTTGCCACTTGCTGGTTTCTTTTTGTGGCACGATAGTTCATTCCAATGGCCAGTCAGATATTTGTGCATGCTCTTTGGTCCTTCGAAAATCTTGCGGTACCCGACGCGTGGCGGGCGATCATGTAGTATCCCAAGGGGTTCCCTTGTGGCATGGTAAATGCCTGATTTTTTACATGCTGTGCTTCAGGCTGTGTGTTCTCCTCGCGTCTGGGAATGTTGCTTCCAACGCTGGGAGTGGCTCGTTCCTATTGTTCATGAGCAATTTTTTTTTGTTCCGGAGAATTTGTGTATGCTGCTGCTGATGGGCAAGCGTCCAACTCCTGCGGTCCTTTTTTTGGAGGGAGGCAACCGCTAGGTCTCGGTGATTATTCTGTCTTATTTATGATCGGGGGACAAAATATTCACTGTTGTCGGATACCTTTTTTCATTCGTTCGGTGTTTCCAAGGATTTTGGCACAAACTATCGAGAAACTGATTCCACCATTCCAGATCAGAAAGGGCATATATTACAGCCTCGTCACGACTTCTGAATTCGAACCTGAGGACGATGACTTGGATCTGGAAAATTCCATCAAATCAAATGGCTTGCCAGGGTCATCCTCAACGCCACACCTCGTTCTACCCCCTACAGATGTTAAGCGGTGCAGAAGCCTGATGACCGGCATCGTGGAGCATTTCACCCCTGTTTTGTTCACACCGGTGCGTGTTCCTATTATCTGATTCCGAGGAAGTAGCCACCGCAGTAATATTTTGACTTGTGGGGAGTCACCGGGAAATGAGATCCTAATCAAACGATGACTCTGTTGACATGTTCCACTGGCTTCAGTTGTTATAGCCTTCATCAAATACTGAGTGCCGAACGTTGGAAGATTTACTTTATTTATTACTTGATCCGTTCTCGTGTGACCATAAGCCTGTGTGCTAATTCATTATTTATTTTAGCCTGCAACTCCTCATATGGCATGTACAGATGTATTTGCGGACAAATGGATGTTGCTTGTAATAACGCCCGCAATAACTGACTCTGGCGTCTGCAAACCACTCGAAATGCTTGAGCAAATTAAGCAAATAGACTGGGCCGCCGAGGGCTTGTGCGCCGCGTGTGTCAGAGAAAAGACACAGGAGTGGACACAGGAGCAGGAAGATGTATGGGAGAAAATGAACTCATGGTTGAATCCGGAGGGTACAAAGCAGTCCCTTGTTTGAAATACACAAAGGAAATATAGATCGGGTTTGTTGCGGTATTGCGGCCTATCTATAATTGTATGTAAAACGGGCAGGAAGAGCCTTCCCCTTGACAACGTTTGTTACAGTGAAGTTCCGCAGGGCCGCAACGTGGCCTTTTTTTTTACAAGCACACAACAAAAATTCACTATACTATGAAACAACAAGTACTGCTACTTCTTAACAATTCAAATTTGGCGCGGAAGTAAATTTAGGTGTACAACAGCTTCCGATTCGAGAAACGCTAGTACGTAATATTATTTTAAGGGAGTCTCGACAATTTGCATTCTTCTTTGTTTTGTGCACCCAAGTATGACCGGCGATTCAATCTCGATGGTGTGTCCTCGATGTACACGCTGGCCCAGGACGTCCGTAGGTTCCCATTATTAACACAATACTGATCACCAAAATTTTCACATGCCCGGGTCATCATGTTGCATTATTTATTAAGGTCATGAGCATCAATGTTTTTGCCCGACCGTCAGCTAGCTCAAACGACTTTATGAAGCTAGCGTCCATGTTTATTCTCAAGCCATATGTGGGAAGTGATTCGCTAGTTTCAGGTTTTTCGGCCCCGCTGCTGGATTATAGCGTTGTCCTAACCGAAAACATCGTGACAAACGCAAGCTGCTTGTGGGCGCGATGATGGCATTCCAAGTTTCAACGACCGAAATGAACTGTTGTTGACAATTTCTCCACGAGTATTTTCACACTTGTTCGAACAGAGGTTCGTGGTCGTTTTCCTCCTCGGGCTGACTCGGATATGGCCATCGATGAACCTTTCTCGTGCAATGCGATTTGTACAAGACGCATATCACCTGCAGGAAGCTGCTTTTCTGGATATTACCAGCTCACAAGAAATCAAGGAACATCTATTATGATGACCAAAACATTTTTTTATTGTGTGTACCCGCGCACACTGGCATGCGGCCATACTGGCCTAGTAAAACTTTGGAGAAGCACCAGCCACGGACACATTGTCCTATTGGTGTTAAACTTTTGTCTCCTGGGACACACAGCACCCTCCTGAATCCTCACAGTCCTTCTCCTTATGGGGTGTCTGGCATCTGGCATCCGTACTTGTGTCGCAACAGGTGGTGGATCTGTGGGCCTCTTCGCGGCACCACTCTGTTGATGTCAAATCGATCGCTTCCAGGAATCACAGATTCTCATTTATTGGCCACCTCATCCACGAAGCACAAGAGTAACGGTGGCACGAGTTGAGAGGCGGTGTGTGTCCTTCAAGTAACACATAAATACCCTCCCAGCATACGTGCCTTCGATCAAATAGTTTCCAGAGACCACCATTTCTCGCGCGTGCACGATCATGACCGACAAGAAGAAACCGATGATTTCTTGTATTCTGGATGTAGTTCCGACCCCTTGCCCCCCACCACGAACTTTGAGTCACGGCATATATACAGTTGCCTACGAAAGCCCGTCGCCTCTCAACTGGACCTCGGACATTCGAGCTTGGATTGGACAGTATTTTGTCTCCTTCACCAACTTATCCTATGCTCGAAGGCTTCTCGGGGAAATATATTTACTAGGTCCTGGGCTGTTGATCGGTCATATCTGCGTCACGCTGTGGCTTGGCATCTCCGATGCACTACTTCTCTTCTGTTTAGGTTCCATAATCAATTTTGTGAGTGATGAGCCCGAATCCGATGTCTGAAACTTATCCTATGCAGGTCGAGGGTCAGTCCTCGGGAGACGTGTCTCACGATTCACTTGATATTGCCATCTACGGAGGGTTCCTCTGCGCCATCGTCGAACCTACTTGCAGTCGTTGCCTGTACGCTCATGTGATTTATTTGTTCGAGTGGCTGGCTTATCATTACCTGTAGAACATACGTGAACGACATCATTAATACTCGCTTGAAAGCACATTTCCTTCCCCAGCTTATTGAAGGTGATGCGATCCATCGAGAATTGTGTCCATATTGAGACCGTGAACAATATTTCCAGCCAGTATGCGTGTGGATGTGTCTTCGATGCAAGGTATAGATCTTCGTCGACTTCTCAAAACCTTTTGTGATATGATTTCCTAGATTGTTACACAATATTTCCCGTGAGGGGTCACTTTGCGTCGGATGTACCAGGCTCGTCATTTTTGCAAGGTTTATTTCACATCACTCGCACCACCATTTCCCTGCTGTCGCAAGTAGCCGTCTTAATGAACGCAGTACTGCACAAACCAAGTCCGGAGAGAGAGGTATTGTTTCTATTTTGCATTGCTCATCCGCTCGTCCGCTGGTTGGCACCATCCAATGTTACCGGTACTCAAGGTTTGTGGTCACTGAGGACTATTGCTATTTTCTGAAACAAACTCGTGGTAGGATACATCTTTTATACACTCAACGTGCCCTTCAAGCAAATGAAAGCTCTATATGACCTGGCATTTTCACCTCAATATCGAGAGGAACTGATACTCAACGGCGCCACCAACAGCATCCACTCTGGTAAGACAACGTTTAGTTAAGCGTGCCTATGCTAACGGGTTGTGCAGAATACAAGAAGTCGACTGAGCAGCTCGGTGATGAAATTGTGACTGAACCGTTTCCCTGGGCAGGTGGTTTGATCAGAAGGTGGTACTGGGACTTCCTAATCAATTTAACCCTCGACCTTCCACTCGTAAGTTATCGGATGTTACTCGTCTGATGTACTAATATACTTCAAGGCGGTCTATGCGCTGGTTTTGCCTCATCGTCTTTCGCCTTCTTCTGTGATGGCAATTGCTCTGCTGCAACAAGCGACCAACAGGCTTTCCCTAAGCATCGGCGAATATGGAATGAATACATCGATAAAGAGCTTGTGCCTTCAGGCAAAGTGGCTCTACGACGCTATCGGTTACAAGAGCAAAATATCCAATGGACCGATGTCTTATCCAAATCCCTCACAATGTAGCTCGTCGGATGGGATGAAAATATCTTTTCGGTGAGCTTCATGCTACAAATGCGATGACGTGCTAACTTTGATGCATGTGATATAAATAGACAAGTATCGCTTCGTTACGAGAAATGCAGTCACAAAGCTCTTGACAATGTCACCCTGGAGATTGCTCCTGGTCAGCTTGTTCTTGTCGTCGGTGTCAATGGCAGCGGGAAATCTTCGTTATTGAAGCTCATTGCGCGTCTCTCCAATCCTACTGAAGGAGAAATTTTGATTGACGACAATTCATTGTCGACGTATGATTCCGATGATGTGCGCGCATCAATTGCATTCTTGCCCCAGCTCCCCCTGTTGTTTCCCATGTCGGTGAAGGAGAACATCTGCCTTGGGTTGCCATCCTGTGTTCATGCGACCGATGAGCAAATTCAAGAAGCAGCCAAAATGGGTAGTTGCACGAACTGGGTTTCAAAATTGCAGAATGGCTATGATACGCAGGTAAAACCTACTCATGACATCGGGAACGCGTGGGCCGACGGAGCTTATGGCACTATCTCTGAGAGATTACGGGAAGAATTGGCGCGTCATAACCAGCAGACAGTCACAATCTCCGGTCTGTACTTGCGGTTTATGTACACGTTTTCACTGACTAACAAGTGGTGACAGGTGGTGAAAAACAACGACTTGCAGCGTACGTACTTTGCCGTTACTTCCGTGTCATAGCTACTCATTTTCATTGCCTCGTCATCAGGGCTAGAACTTTTATGAGGATTAATCACACAGATATCAGACTAGTCGTAGTCGATGAAGCCACGTCGTCTTTGGACGCTATCACGGAACGCGATATTCTCACTCAGTTTCACCATGTCCGCCAAGGAAAGACGATGATCCTTGTCACCCACCGCTTCCACCATCTTGTCAAGGAGGCTGATCAGATCATGTAAGTAAAAACACCGTTCTAGCCACATATGAAATTGATACCTCGTGGCAGATGTATGAAGGATGGATGCGTGGTCGAGCGAGGGACGCATCATCAACTGATCGAAGGCGATGGGGAGTATGCGAAGCTGTATAATGCGCAAGTTCTCTCGGCATAATCTTGGATGCCTTTGCGTCGGTAATTTTGTGACTCTTCTTGTGCTGATGTTTCTCGTACGCTTGTGTTTACGTTCCCCCATCTTATTTTTGTGCCCTTAATTATGATATCTGTTGCTGTAACCTTTTCAATTCAAGTCTCGATGACTCAAGCTTATCTGAGAGGCCAAAAGGGTACACAAAACCTTCGCGCGCAAGTCCTATTATCATGATAAGTATCGATCTCAGATCTTGGAATCTCAAACCAAGACTGAGCCACGTTTCTGCCTAACCAGAACCACGCATTGACCGTGACACCTGCCTTATCCATACGTGTGGTGTAAACAAACTGACCTTCGAGTACTCCCCAGACCAGTTCACCGATCAGATCTTCGATGAGGAATACTTGTCAGGAAGGAGCTTTATCGATTGAAAATATTGCTGACGGCATATACCGGAACTTACATTCACGCGGGCAAGAACCCACTATGCCGGAATGAGCTTAGTTTCACCAGGCAAGATGAAAAATCTAGGGTGTGTACGTGACTCAGATAACTGCATCATGTTGTTTGGCCTTTTTGACAGGCTCGATAATTCCCGATGCGGCAGGGTAATGGCGGAGTGTTTGCGTTAATGCCATGGGGAAAAGCATCCATGAACATACCATAAAATCTTAATACGAAGGGACATTCGATTGGTCTGGCTGGGAGACCACGACGTATTACATAACCCATCAAATAGTTGTCTAGATCTGGAGACTCCACAGGCTAAATTCGTATACGATATATCATGCAGCAATAGAGTACAGCGGTAATACAGAGAACAAAAAAAAAGAAAAGAAAAACAATCTCGATACAAGAGGGCGAAATTGGAAACGAAAGCGTAGGATATGATATCATGAAGACGGGCATAAGCGCAAAGTAAAGCATGGTAACATGAGGTATGAAGATCATGACGTGACGAGAATACGTAAAGGAAAGTGAGAAGTACGAGTGAACAACGCGCCATACCCAAACGCTCGCAAAAGCAAGAGTCCATGGGATTGGCATCAAAGAAAAAGTGTCTCTGAAACTGGTATCCATTCTGATGAAACTTACTCGATGATCTCAAACCGTCCCCTTTTCCCCTCTCTCCCATCGCCCTCATCGTCCAATCCCCGTTTCTCCCCTCCCATCTCAGAACCTAAGGCACCTGCTAGACCGAACGAAAAGCCCTCGGGCACTCCAACGCCCGAAAAACTCTCCTGAGTAACGAGATCTCTGAGAATCGCTGCGTATCGCTCGTCAGATAGACCCATCCCAGCTAGGGGGTTAATCCGTCCATCGTCGTCGTACCCCGACATTCCCATCGGATGCAGACTAGAAGAGGAGGAGGAATTAGATGAGGAACTGGGATTGGACGCTGAAGTGTGTCGTTGTAATTGTGACGCCCCGACCGCGAGTGCTTCGCTAAAAGACGGATCTGACAGAGGAGGGACGCCGAGCGAACGTGGTACTTTCGACATTTGTTGGATAACTTTGAGGTGCATAAGGTGTTTCTGTGCAGCCGTATCAATATATAGATAGCTCTTGGTACAAATCACGAAAAACACACCTCTAACATATCCAACAACCCCTCCTTCGTAAACGGCTTGGGCAAAATATCATTCATCCCAGATGAATAATACGTCATAATCTCGCTCGGTTTTGAATTAGACGTCATACTGATGATGGGGGTCATGTGGTCGAATTGGCGGATGAGATTCGTAGCGCTAACTCCGTCCATTTTGGGCATCACAATGTCCTGCCGCGTTCCCAATTGAAAACATCAAATTAGTTCGTAACATACACAAAGAGAAAAAAAGGACTCGCCATTAATACCAAATCATATTTTTCAAGGTTCATCTTATTCACAGCTCCAACGCCATCCACAGCAACATCGATCATGCATCCAAATACCTGCAGAAACTTGCTGCTCAATCTCCTGCTCACCGCGTCGTCGTCCACAAGCAGCACCCTAGGAGGAACAGCCCATCCTGGGACGAACGTAGACCGTCGAACACGGATAGTCGTAGGCGTAGTCGAAGATTGAGATTGTCCATTAGACAACGTCGGACGTACGACTTCTTCAGAATATGGATCGGGTTCCGATGGTAGGTTGTCGTTGTCGTTGTCGGTGTCGGTGTCATTCCCTCCCTCGCCTTCGCCTTCACCTTCTGCAGGCGGAGGCACAGGGCCCGTCGAAGAATTAACATTGAACATCCAATTCCCATTCGGATCCTCCGCGCTACTCCGGGGTAATAGATGACCAACTGTAAAAACCTGCAGTCCCTCATGCATTGTCGTTGGCGCGTCCCAGTTCATATCAGGGGGAAGGATAAACGTAGCGTTGCCGTCTTGTGTTGACGCTTGTGATGGCGACTGCTGTTGCTGTTGCCCCCCTCGATGCAAATGCGAATGGGTCCCACTCGTCCTCTGCATATGCATCTCCTCACCCGCCGACGACCCCGAAGCACCAGAACCCGACCTAGGCATCGAAGTCGGGGTCCTAAACTCCGCATCGCTCGCTGCCCGCCTCGACATTTCATTCATCTGCACCAGACTCAGCCGCGCGACCATATCTGGATCTTGAAGGCCGAGTTCTTGAGCTGGGACGAATTGATGGGGATGGGGAGGGGGGAGAGAATATGGGTTATGGAGGGAGGCCGATTGAGGCGGCTGGGATACTGACATGGATTTGCGTGCGTGTGAGGAAGGCATGAAGAATGAATTTGAGTTTGAAGGAGGTGCAAGGAAGGGCGATGGTTGAGGTTGGCCCATGGACTGCTGTGAGTGGGATGCCAGGAGGGAAGGCGGCGGGTGTGTGCTGGGAGTCATGCTAGGTGCGATGGGTGTTGTTGAGGTTTGAGATATGCTGCGGATGGGAGTTTGAGGTGGGGGTTGAGACACAGTAGACTGAGACACCGATGCTGGAGCGAGGGGTGCTGAAGCGGTGGTAGAAGACCCGGCGGCGGTTTGGGAGGTAGCGTCTGAGGGGTCTTTAGGTTTACCTAGGGGACAGCAATATATATTAACGAGGGAAAACACAAGTACACGAGAAGAAGGCAGGCCCAGGCATAGAAAATCAGGCCCGTTACCAGCGCAAAGATGCACCCGCATCCTTGGTGCCTAGTAGACCCATCAACTGAACATCATGGACCCATCAAACTGGGCATTGAGGCCTCATCATCAATGCCTAGATTATACGACCACGACTAGCGCATTGCAAACAGACGAATCTTCATCTCCACCGGGGTAATCCCCCACGGGGATCGCATTTGAAAAGGTACAGGGAAAAATGGGAAAGCGGAGAGGGACGGGACGGGACCTAAAAAAAATGAAGTAACAATCAGAGACACTCACCTCCCTCCCCTAAAAAATACTGTATCAATCCCTGCATCAAGCCATCCTGCTGCGCCATCCCCTTTTGAAAATTGACCATCTCAACAAGTACGTCCCCGTACTGACGCTCCAACACCCTAATCCGCTCTTCAGCCCTTCCGATTTGATTCCTCAAACTCTCATTCGTAGCGAAAAGATTGTCATTCTGAGCGCGTAACGATGAATGGGAGGCAAGTAAAGAATCAGTCTGTCCTCGTAGAGTCTCGTGTGATGTCAAAAGTGTATCATGTGACGAAAAGAGCGATTGGTACGAGTTTTGCAGGACGCTGATGTGCGATTGCACAGATGCTATTTCGGCGTTAGTAGTTTCGCCTGGGACGGGGCTGCCGGAACTTGCTCCTCTGCCACCGCTGAGACCCCCGTTAGAGGCGGAAGGAATAGATTTACGTGCAGCAGGGACTTTGCGCTTTATGTTTTCGAGGGCGTCGCGTCTGTCGGCATGGAAATCAGGGTGTCGGAATGTCCAGCTGTGTTCGCCAAATTGGGCGTCATCGGATGTTTTTACCTGATTTAGAAGGATTAGTACGGGAGAATAGAACGAGGTCAAGAGGAGGTAAGATAGGCAAGGAGGTGGAGTGGTGGATCGTGTAGCAAGTACGTCTTGGTCACGGGCTGTATGGCGTTTGGAGGCTGCCTTCACGGAGATGAAGAGGGAACCAACGTGATTGTGCCAAGTCACGCCAAGGACCCCTGTGGCAACGACCAATTACGAAAAGGGTGCCAATGCACGGAAAAACTGTCGGATGTCTTGAACAAGGTAGAGGCGGTAGTAGAAGCCTCGGATCGAACCGAAGATCGACGGATAAGGCCGAGTTGGAGATGGGGAATTCCTATGGTAGAATGGAATGCGGATCTCTGAGATAAAGGAGATTGTATTGCCTTTGATAGGCGATATGAGGGGGGATGCAAGAAGTCGCGTGATGGGAGGGGACGATGGAGAACTCGAGGTGTAGGGGTATAAAAATAGAAGGAACAGTGGAAGGGGAAAAGGATTGAAAGAAAGAAGTTCGAGATCCGAAGGCTCACTTTATGAAAATCATATTTGTTGAGTTGTCTGACGAAGGAGGCAAAATTTGAATGCTTGAACATGCGTGGGAGGATAGATTTTGTGAATTCGTTCATGTCCTGTGTAAACGAAGATTGATGGAAGTGATAATAATTGGAAGAGAATACAGACCTTTACGACGAAGCAGTCACCTTGTGGTCCCCATGAGACGACATGGGAGAAGGTATGGTCTTCTAACATTCTATAGGACAAAAATGAAAAGTTGTGACGGTGGAGAAAGAAGAGAAGAAGTACTTGTATAGCTTTTTAACGAAATCGCTTGTTGCTGGCATGGTATCTTCCTGTTCTTTGAGCGGGGGGACTGAGTGGATCTGGTGAGTGGGTTCTCTCTTCATCTGCCTCATCTCTCGTTGTGAATGAATTGATACATCCTCTCTTGAATTTGAAGTGCGATGGATTGATGACGATGATGGACCCCATGATACTGGAGAAGGGTGGCGATAGGGCGAAGAGTTCATTGCAGCCATGGGAGGGAGCGTTGTGGCTGATGCACGCTGAGGGAGGTTTATAGCAGGTAGCTGAACTTGTGGTGGCGGTAACTGATGTGAAGCAAATAAACGAACTGAAGAGTAAGGAGGACCTGTTGTACTAGCTGCAGAGGTGTGGTGGTGGTCCATGTGCATGGCTGTAGGTACCAATTGATTTATTCAAATCGCAAGGGTGTATCTTGTAAAGGTCAAAACCCAAACACAAGTAAACTTACGGTTTCTTCAAACCCACGCTCGCCGACGTCGATGGTAGTGGTGATCAAGTAAGTATCAATGGAAGAATTAGTCGGTAAAAGAGTCTAGAACTTTTCACTAAAGTACTGTTCAATAGGCGCCCTAAAGTTCCAGGCCAGGCTTAACTTCAAGCGGTCCCGAGTGTCCGACTACCGCACTCGACGGCGATACTATTACTGCTAGTACTTGCTCTAGACCAGATCCCTTCACCGGTCACTATCCAGCCAAGCTATCGATTCAGTAATTCTTTATGTAGAACCTGGTCAAACCTTGCTGGCATTCCCATCATCCTTCCTCCAATGCACTAATTCCTTTAAATTCCCCTTCCTTCAACTTCGGGCCTCGCCGAAGCAAATATCCGATCCTTACTCCATCATGTCGGTTTCGCTATTCTGATTTTCCATCTTATGCACCTACCTATCTCCCCCGACCTATACTTCATTCCTCCACCCCTATTACTCATTCATCCATCCTTATTGGTTCTCACCTTCTCCGAGTCAGTTGAATGTCCTGGGCGCTTCACTCACAAAGAAAGCAAGGTTGCGTTCTCCAAGGTCTTTATTCGTCTGACTTTATGAGTAGAAGGTCGGACTGACACCAGCTTCGGACTACATATCCGAGTCAACCTGCCGTTGTGATGTCCTTAACGAAAGACTGGTATACACAGCCCGTCCACATATTCAAATAGGAAAGGCACGAAGTCTTATCTCCTTACAACTATTCCCTGACTGCTTATGCACAGCTTCGTACTACTATATCTTATGACCTAACGAACACGATGCCCCTCATGTCCCTAATTTTCTTGCGCGACGTCCTAGTACTTGCTGCGCATACCACGTATCCAATTTTCATGCACAGCCTCGGGCTGTGATTTCTTCTCAAGTCATGCCCTCGTGCCAAGTCCGTAGTAAATGCACGAGGTCCTTGACCGTCTCTTTATTTGCGATTTATATAAATTGCTGCGCCTTTCAGGGTATATACCCCATTCATCAACAAATACAAACCTCGTGAGTCGCTTCGTTTGTCCCACCTGCCACTATATGATGTTCATGTGAAATAGGGTACCGCAACTACTACTGTCATACATGTAATGCATAACGTGGTGGTACGCCACATACCCTCGGAGATCTAATCACTCATCTACCATGTACCCACCCGCGGATACCCCATCACATTAACCCCAATCATCATCAACTTTGTCTTGGCTCGTAGAACCCGCTCTGTCGAATCCCATACACACGCTTAAAAAAATTCATGACGAGTTTACTGTGTCGCAAGAAGACGTACAGGCACCGATCCCCCTAGTAATCCGACCTCACTGAGATTTACAGTTCCGAAATTTGATATGAAAGCGCGTTATGAGTGGGCATACCGAATTTTCGGGGAGCGAAGTAGCTCAGGTGATGTGGAAATACCCTTTAGGTGCGCTATCGGAGCCAGCATTAAGTGTCATATACCCTGTGTTAGAAATGCGGAAGCACATCAACCCGAATATTAATGGCGATACCGGCATCAGATTGGGGAATAGTTCTTGCTGGGGCATCCCCGGGAAGTTCCATGGTTCGTATCACGAAATGTAATGTTGGATGAATTTATAGGATTGATATTTAGGAACCGGGATGTTAGATTTGTCATAGGCGACAGCGATCGCCGTGCAAGACACTGGAAGACAAAGTACTCGTCTGTGTCCCACCGAAGACATAACATAGTTTTCAATGGTTGTTGCTGGTGCGTGGCGATTACCTCAATTATATGCATGCAACCTCCCGATTAGAAACAGAAGTAATCTTTCCTTGAGTTTCTACCTGCACTATAGTAAGTAGTCGGTCCATTCAATATCTGCCGTTGCAATCTGGATGAACCCGACACAGAACCACCATCGGATCATCTCACATCGACCGATCAACGGTCAACTCCTGCATAATGTCGTATCTCCCCCCCTCTTGCGAAGAGTATCGGCAACATGATCTAATCACTCACCCCTATTACAACATGTTCCCTGTGTTCTAAAAATGTGAACGCAAACATGATGATTCGAATTCGCGAAAACGGCGGAACTTCCCAGGTTCACTGGAGAATGATATAGTTTCATAGAACAACCCCTGCCTGCCCATTTACGTTACGCCTTCCCCTCACCTATATTTATCTGAAACACTTCGCATTGAGTGAAGTCAGGATACGTCTACACCTTATTTTTCTGAGCAACTTGTGGCCCACATAAAATATTTCGAAAGTCGTACATAGATTAATATTGTTGTTGGAGGGCCGGGAAATGCCGCGGGTGTATTTCATGGAACAACTAGTGACTTTCAAATCTTGCGACTTTTGGAACCGGATGCTAGTAGCGTTATCTCATATCAGACTTGCACCCTGCACATCGTTCTCATCACTCAAGCAAACGAGGGTTCTCATTCCGACGAACCTTATGGTTCAGACTAGAAGATCTACTGCCGTCGCTGCATCAATTCCTTTGACGTTACCCCACTTTCACCCGGAGTCCTCCAAACGTCGAAGAACAGCATTAGCAGACGAGTCAGATAATGGTGCCTGTGAGACTGTGAACCGACTTCATTTCCTTGTTGGTGACTAAAGATGAAACTTCTAGCCACGAAAGAACCTCCGCGCCGCACGAAGCGGACAAAGACGAAGGATAAACCTTTGACGGAAGACTTTCCTGTACGTGTCTCCGGTTCGTGGAAAATCGGAGCGCATGTATCAGCTGCAGGAGGGGTTGAGAACGCTGTTCGAAATGCAGCGATGGTTGGGTGAGAGATGCGTTTCGTGCTAGTTTCTCTTTGTTGAAGTACTGAACGTTGAACATTAAACCCCTACAGCGCTAACGCATTCGCTCTATTCGTCAAGTCCCAACGAAAATGGGATTCCGCACCACTTTCCGCTGAAAGCGTTGATGCGTTCAAGAGACGAATGCAAGAGTTTGGATATTCGCCAAAACACGTTCTTCCCCATGGTAGTTATTTAGTTAATCTGGGAAACCCTGACGGGTGAGTACGAGTTCGCCTCTTTGATTTGTGAGTTTATGATGATGATTGTCTGATTTTAGGGAGAAGAGGCAGAAATCGTTCAACTGTTTCCTTGATGATCTTCAGCGATGCGAACAGCTTGGCCTCGAGCTGTATAATTTCCAGTGAGTCCATCATTTTAACCCTTTCCCGTCAAAATCGAGCTCACGTTACTGAAGTCCAGGCTCGACCGTTGGGCAGGCCACAAAAGAAGAATCGATAGCTCTGATCGCTGAATGTATCAACAACGCTCACAAACTGACGAAATATATAACAATTGTCATCGAGAACATGGTGTGTATTTATACGGCTTGGAATATCGACTATCTTCACTTCATCGTTCAAAATAGGCAGGTTCAGGAAATGTCATAGGTTCTCAGTTTTCAGAACTGAAGGAGATCATCAACCACGTCGAGAACAAGACACGAGTAGGCGTTTGCCTTGATACCTGTTCGTCTCGGCCTTTTGTGCTTGTTCTTACTGACAAGTGGCATTTAGGTCATGCGTTCGCTGCGGTAAGGGCTTCATTTTCTGTGTCGCAAACTTTTCACCGTGATTTCAGGGATACGACATCTCGACAAAAGTTGGATGGGAGTATGTCTGTCGACTACTTCGTTTCATACACCAGCTAATGTAACTTTCTAGTGCAACGCGTGAGTTCTACAGATACGAACTATGAAACACAGACGTGACTTGAATCACAGTCTCCGCGTTCGACACCGAAGTTGGACTATCGTATCTCAAGGGGTTGCATTTAAATGACTCCAAAGCCGCCCTCGGGTCAAAAAAGATCGACATGAAAATATTGGACTGTGCGTGCCTCATCCTTAGTTCTTTATAAAATGGGCGTTTTTACCGCCGTATTAGCGGTCATCTTGGTATTTCTACATTCAGGCACATTGTGTCCGACCCTCGGACGCAGGATATTCCTCTCATTCTCGAGACCCCAACTTTCGAAGCAACAGAAATATGGACCAAGGAGATATCGGCTCTCAATCGCCTTTCTTTGGTCGACGATAGCGAAGTTCTCGAGACGGAACTGTCGTTGGTGAATGAAATCACCTCATTAGTGCGAAGTCACGCAGCGAAAAAGACAGAAAAGGCGAGCAGGACGGAAAAGGCGAGCAAGACAGAAGGGGTGAGCAAGACCCGTACGCGCAAACGGAATACGACAGAGGATCAAGATTATGACTCTGACTGTGCTTAGCAAGGTAAGTCGGTACTTATGCGCCAACAGTTCCATTACGACCCTAAGGCATCTTCCGAGAAGTTCTGTTGGTTTGGTGTCCGATGTAAATTTATCTTGCTGCTCCACAATTGATATTCCTATTATTATTACCTTCCCCCTGTTCTCGCTGACAATTGCGAGCATAGCGCTCATTTACGCTATGCCAACTCATCTTATTATTTTTGTCACACCCCTTCGAGGTTGCTTGGAGGAATGCATTGACAGCGCAATCAATATCGTCACATTTCCGAGAGCCGATCCCAATAGGAAGCAAGTCCAGAATCAATGTCTTTGGCACGAAAGGAGAGCATCCTATCATTCGAAGGCGTGATAAGCCTCGTATACCGAAAATCACCGTATCTCTTGCGCAGCTCCCGGGCATCGCGGATCTCCGTCATCATGATTCGCACAAGGCACATTATAGGTGTTCTATCAGACACGGATGAGTCCCGGGCCGCAAACCTCGCCAGATTTGGGTAGTTGCGCCAACGAGTCTTAACCCTCGTACCAGATAATATCGGCCTTCTGTAAGCACAAAAAAGTTCTTCGTCATTCACGCATATATCGATAGGATTCACATCGACGCCCAAGCCCCCAGTGGCCTGAACATTCTCGGCGAGAGGAATGAAGCCGGGTTCAACCAGGCCGGTTACATGGTTTTCCATGAGAAGGTTTCTGAGCATATTGACCATCATTCAATCTTTGTGCTGATACACTATATAGAAGACATAATCGCAAATCCTGGAGGAAAGGTGCTCGTTCGCACCAGCCGTTTATTCAATTTCCTGATCCAAACTCATCTTTGATCTACGTATGAGAATAGGCCAAATCCAAGTATCAGCAGCCAGTGACGTGAGTCTTTTGCTTCTATGATTTTGACACACCAACTTTCCCGTATCTCAGTTGTCGGCGCCTGTCTTTTCTGGGAATACCCTTTTACTGCTGAATATGACCTCGTCGGTGAAGGCAATCGGGGCCCGTTCATTCTCTGCGGAGTTTCCGGTGTGATTGTAGGAAAGAAGGCTGCTTGAAATTCGGAGGCGCGCTTTTGAATTTGTGCTAAGTAACATTGCGACCATCTTGGGAACTTTTTACCTTGTTTTGTCCCACATCTGCGCAGGATTGCGGAAGTTAAGGCAGACCTTGTTGACCCACGGGGTGGCTATATTGTTGTTCTGTGAGTGGCCTCAATATCTTTTTGGCGAGCGTGTTGGCTGACCCGCAATACAACTATCTCCTCGACATCCTAGTACTGGACACAGTACACGTAATACGAGGAAGGTCTGTAAGTCTATCCTTCTATGACGTCAGACGGCACGAGGCGAAATTGATGAGTTCGAACTCAAGCGATAAGGTTGAAAGAAGTGTTTTCGAAGACACGCGGTTAAGAGTTTTAGAGACTGGAATCACATTAGCATCTTCTAAAGACTTTTCGACCTCGGTGAGACTCCGGTGAATTAGTTGGAAAAAATATACATGCGTCATGACGCTTTAGATACGTAGAGTCTAGAGCCTTTTGGTTGTATTTATATGAGTGGTAAGAAGGTACCAGTAGAATGGCGCTGAGACAACATGTAAATGCGGTGTACATGTGTATGGAAATGAGGTGGGAGAAGATTAGTACGCAAGCAGCCATTAGTCACATCATCGAGGAGAGAAGCTGTAATAATTAGAGTGAACGACATTGTACACCTCGACCGGAATAATTTAACAAACTATCTTTGCTCATTCGTCTTGTACATTTTCCTACGTCTTCACTTTCTATACGAGTGCTCTATTTGGAGAAAGGCCAAGTTGGCAGTGCGTGCGAGTGCAATACCACAATAATCATGGCTGCCAGCTTCGCAAAATGTCGTTGAATTGTTCGGAAAATAGGTCTCCCGACACCTGCGAAACACATAGAAATTAAAAGGCTTTGTGAGATCCGCCGGTCCAACAACCATACAGTCTCCCGTCGGAATCGTGGCATTTTTTTCGCAGACAGGAAACACTGGATAAAGACTCGGAAGACGGATCCTCGGGATTAGTGACAAATTCATCCTGAGGGTTGATGATCATTGTGGAAGCCTCGTCAACAAGACTGTCTTATAGAGGGGGCCTCTAGACACTTATATGGGGAAAACCAACGCTGTGGTACTTACAGTGTGTCGCAGTACTCGATTGCTTCGATGGCGGGAAGTCACAGAGCCTGCAGCTGGTCGACATGATAGTCAGTGGATGTGAGCCCATCGTAATTCACAAGGTTCGAGTCACATGTATAGCATTCATAGGGGCATTCGCATATGCAGTACAAACGGCGGGCGTTTCACGTCACGCCCTCCGCCGACATGAAAACATACTTCCCAGCTACCTAAGGCTTAGCTTCGTGGGCTACTTATATGCATCAATCGACAAGAGAAAGGAGAGGTATACAACTGAGAACAAACACTACTATAATGAGAATAACTAAAAATCATACCATGTCAGCGATGTCTTAAGTCCAGCTGATCGTCGATATGGAAATTGTCCCATTAACTCGGGAAGAGAGGTGGTTCGGAGTATCATACCCGTGGCCTATAATAAAAGAAACTGTGAAGTAATATCAAGTCAATGTGAACTATCTTTAAAGAACTGCCTCGCCGTTACAGAAAACTCAATAATATAACGCCAAAATCCCTCTGAAGAGAATCATTAGAGGTGGGAAAATATAAAAATTACGAGCTCAAGATAAAACCTCCGTTTGATCAAGCGTAAGATTGACGATTTTGTTGGTCGTGGAAGAACAGATGGGGTACAAGGTGTCCCCAATTGTGCTGCTCACAAGCTCCTGCGAGTTGGTCATCGTTTGATATTCGGCAACCCCAATGATGAGTCACAGACTCACAGTGGTTGGACATCCGACTGGAAAGGGGTAGGTGATGTGAGAACGTAAGAAATTAGATCTGGAATAATTTTGGCATGTCAATTTTGGAGGAATCATTTCTCAAGCTTGCGTTAAGAAAGTTATACTTGTCGAATCTTCGATCACTATAGAAACAGATACAATCAATGACTATGAACATATCTCAAAACTTACAGAAGCTCGTATACGTTTGGTTGATAGTCCTAAGTCCTAGGCATACGACGGACGGAAGAAAGCCGCTTCCCGAGGAGCTCCTATTTCCGCTTCCATCATGCATGACCGCATATTCTTGCACCATCAGCGTACCTAGGAGCTGATATTCGAATCCAGACAAACACCCTCGACACAAACTCACTGATACCACAGTTTGTACTGATATTCCATAGGCGGAGACCTCTAATGGAACCTTCCAAAGTAGCCGATGTGGTATGAGTAATGCTTGAATTACTTGTGTCCCAAACATACTGGGGGTTGATTCAAGTTGAGGAGCGAGCAGATGACATCGGTTGTCAACTCTGCTGCCGCACAGAATAGTTCGTGTCGAAGTCTTGAGGTTCGGAAATGTTCTTCAATGGCGGGTGCAATTTCCCTCTAGATGGAAAAAACGCAACATAGTAAAACAACTTCGAGTGACCTGAGGGACGGGACCAGTGGATATGTTGTACTTTGCCTCATCGAAATCGGTATGACCGGTGACACGGTCAGTCTTCGGAGTCTGTGCACGTGGCGACCATGACGTGTTCTCTGAAGATGGAGAACATTGGATGAAGAACCCATACCCTCAGTATTAGTGGCAGCTGCATTCTGAAGAATGATGATCGCGGAAACCTTGTGGTTAGTAGTGGGCTGGAGTTGCGAGTACTACCGTAGCTTAGTCAGCTGCGGAGTGTAGGCTTTCGGGCTTCGTCGTAGAGCTCTCGATGTTCAACTCTTCATTGCTTACCTGATACACGACACGCAGGCACATAGTCGCGGATATACTGCTCCAATGAATCCCTCGCAATGTAATAGGGAAGATGTGATGTCATTCTGTTCAAGTTTTGCGTACTGACACGAAAAAGCTGCTGATCAGAGGACTAGGAAGACTTCAAGTTTCAACGAATCAACTAGTCAGCTAGTTACTCAGTTGGCGGGGGGTATAAGGTTTGCAGTTGATTGATGTAGGCAGTAAATTTGATGTGAGTTCTGCATTGGTTGCCTATCACACCGCATTGACATTCCTATATCAGCATGTTACTCTTTTATTATCGTCTTGGCGCCATTTGATGCTGTCAGAAAGGCCGTTTCTTGCGTTGCCACAAATTCCATTAATATTGCTCGTCATGATGCATTGACCACTGCTATAGAGGTGATCAAGCAAGGCCGTGCGATATTTTGGACCCAGTTGCATGTTCATGCGCACTGCTCGATCGTCTGTCTCCATCAATCGACACTGGCGCAGCCTGTTCAAGCGGCTTAACGCTAATCATCGGTGATAGTCAGTATGGATTTGATGAGCCTCAATGCCCGATCTCTCATCCACGTTCCATTCGATATCCCACGGACCAAAGTCTCCGAGTTTCGGCGCCTCGTAGAGCGATTTGATCGTTAACGCAAGCTTGTTAGCATCCTCTGCACGTGATTACGCAACTTTCCTACGTGCAGCGGGAAGCTCCGATTCATGTCGCTTTTGCCTCACTTTGCATGTCCCGACCTCGGCGGCACTCGCGAGAAAGCGCGTTTCTCAAGATGTACCCACACAATAATTTGTTGTAACTGGTCAAACCGCTCAATAAAGCCCTGACAGAGGGAGGCTCCGAGATGTGTCGCTCTTTAGTTAGCCGTCATAGCTCAGCTTCCCGTACTCATCATGTCATCCTTCACATCACTCCGGAACAACCTCGCGTTTGTGCTTTGCACTATAATTAGTTTGTAATCAATTGCTCTGTCTAGCCCGCCATGGGATGCTAAATAGAAAACCGGTCGAGTCTTCATCCGCAATGTGCGGCGGGCCGCCAATGAAGACCAAGGACATCATCCGATTAGCCTGGCCGAACTCGGAGTCCGCATTCTTATCAACTTGCCACATCACTGTAGGCGATGAGAGAAGTCTCAACTCACGTCGCTGCGGCTATGCATTTTTTCCGGATTTCGCGGTGTTATTGGTTCCACGCTGCGGTCTTTTGACAACGATGTTGCAGGCGAAATTGTCTCTGCGTTCTATGACAACTGGCTTAATGATTCAGGCGCATCAGACTGCGCGCGGGCTATCGTAAAAGTCGTTGCGCCAGAAGATTCCACTGGAACAGGTGATTGTATTTCACATAGGTGTCTAGAAATTTGAGATTGCATTCGTCATGTTATCGTATTTTCTGTGATTTTGCTTACTTTCGTTCCCTCGCTGTCTCAGGTTTTTGCTTGGCCCTAGTTGTTCACTGCGTACTCGTTTGGATGACTTGCAGTCACGTGCTGATGTTAAACACAGAACGGAAGCGGAGTTGGTTCCAGACCTTAATAATTAATCCGGATTACTTCCGCGGGGAACGTTTGGCTCCGTCCTTACAACAGGCAAAATAGACTTTATGTTCTGGACCTCCGGTAGAATGGCAGAGGATTCATGAAAAGGCCATATGTACCTCTTAAGCAGGGGGCTCCCCGCTTAAAGTGATTTACAGAGCGTGTATAGTGGACGACAAAATATAGTTCCAGGCTGCAGCTGGCCTGCGGGTTTCCGGTACCGCCAAGGTCAACTTCACGTTCAGGAGATCTGCAGGAAAAAGGGCGACAATCACATGTAGCTCTCCCTGACAGGTCGGAATCGCCTTCAACGGGACCTGGCTGGAGCTGCGTGTGTATGTGCAAGAGTATCTTGTCTGACCAAGGTCACTTGTCATCAATTCAAAATCCAATGATCATAGTAAAAGAAACGCCTTAGGCTTCCGTTACAACCAACACTACTTCTCTCTCTGAACAAAGCACGTATGTCCTTTTTGCAACATCGGAGATACAAGTGTGCCCGGTGATTCTCATCCTTGAACATGTTGAAAAGTCAAATTTTGATCACGAGTAATGACGGATTGACTTGACGTCGAGTCGATAGACAAGCATTCATCAGAACGTTGCCTAGTTGATCCTCGGCGGATATCAGTTCGCACTTGGCGTCTTGCATGGTTGTCATCGTGTGAATGGTTGGCTGAGTTACAGTACTACTAGGTGTCAAATGAGTTGATAATGGCTGCAGGCGACAGAGTGAGGTTAGTCAGGTCATGGTACCTTTATATGACTCTGGCTTGTGATAATAAGACATGACCGGTTTTCCGTGTTTCTGCGCCCGCGGCGGCCTCGTCGTCCTCGCGCTTTTGATGGATCTGCTCATGTCTATCAAACAAGGTAATACGGCGCCGTACAACTTCTCGGAAGCCTCGTTGCGCATCTTCTCATGACTTCTTGAGTAATATGCGGGGCGCTGATACTTAATTGTAAGAAAGTTGCACCAATGCTGTGGTGCATGAAAATAAGCATAATAAAAATACCGGAGAAAGTGGAGCCTGAGGGAGACAAAATATAGGTTTGACAGGGTGTGAGGGTCCTTCCCAAGGGATTTGTGTTTGAGAGGGAGCAATGTTAGCTAACCCTGCCATGCCTCGGCAGTGCCTAAAGGAGAACAAGACATAACTGCAATGCTATGATTAACGTCACCAGGTCAGTGTGATTCAAAAACGTCGGAACTTCAACTTGACTTACTAAAATTATATCAGCGCGCCGCGCTGACTACCTCGATGAAATGACAACAGAGTCTACATACATGGCAAAGAAATATTAGAGACCGTGAGCAGTTGATAGTAATAATCGACCGAGGGAAGACAGCAGGAGTTGCAAGCCTTCGGTGGTGATAGCAACGCCGTTTGCGGTTAGCTAGAAGAGGATCCGAAGGCGCTGCAACGTCAAAATCCGCGATCAAAGGATGTAACTCAGTTCAGAACGCGGATTGAACGTAAAGGATGGTATTAAAATTGTAAAGAGTGCCCGGGGATCGGGTATTATTCTGTAGAGCTCAGTGCACTGCTGAGCGCTGAGCGGCAAAGCCGACTGAATGTCCAAAAGGGTCAATGAATAGGGACGGACGCAAATAAGTACAAATTAAAATAAGATTAAATAATCTTCGGCATCAAGCGTTGGTGACATCGGTTAGATAGGTATACGTGAGAGGGTTTGTGATTTCTGGGAAAATAATAAAATAATGCGGAGTTAGCCGATTGATATGAAAGCGTCGTCTTCGTCTTCCTGACTTTACAACCCCATCACTTGTCAGTCCTCCCTCTCTGCATGGTCCTTTGAGGTCTATAAACCCTTTTCTCCCTCATCCCCGATAAGCCTCGCCGCTAACAAGGATCCCGCTTGTAGTCAGTCTTTCTTGTTTTCACAGACTCGATATTTTAATGACCTGCTATAGATCTCGCGACCCTTGCCGGCTTCTCACAATCCGACTTTCAAACGACCCCCACATACCTCAAAGGACCGATCAGTAGTACGCTTGAGCTCGCTCGCGACTCTGATTTATAGCAGCTCGTCGACTATCCACCACTTTACTTGCATATAGCCCGTTTTCTAGTGCACCCGCAAATCCCCACAGTCAAGGTCTCCGCTGAGGAAACTCGCGTACCCTACTGTTCTTATCACCGTTTCCTTGTAAAATCGATATCAATTGGTTAATCATTTTTTGTCACCGGAACCCATCTCTCTCTTCTGTTTAACTCGTGTTATCATCTCAATTATACTCTACCTGTCCTTTGTAGAACTCCTGTTTGTCGATCATGGCTTTAACTCTTCCAATCGCTTCCTCTTCGTCTCCATCTACTAGCAATTCTCCTGCTTCAATAGAGGGTTCTGTTCCCCCTCAAACTCCGATTACTCCTGCCGCCGGCCAAACTCTCTCACTTCCGTTGGCATCCTCCACAGAACATAACAATAACGTCCAATCACAAAGTTCCAGCACAGCCTCAGCCAATGGCGCTGTTACGCAGGTCAAACGAAAGCCCAGTCGCCGGGCCAATACCGCGGAAAGGCGTGCTACTCACAACGCAGTCGAGAGACAGCGCAGAGAGACTCTCAATGGCAGATTCTTGGCAAGCCTTATTTTCTTGATCAAAAGAACCGCTGATCCGAACGCTATCTTTTTAGGACCTTGCCGCGCTGCTTCCTAATCTTTCGCAGATCCGCAGACCTTCCAAGTCTGCGATCGTTAACTCTTCGATCGCTCACGTTCACGCGTCAAGGCGTCACCGCTTCCTAGCTTCGCGGGAGTTGCGGGCTCTGAAGCAAGAATCTGATGCCCTTCGCCGAGAGCTCAACGAATGGCGTGATCGTGCTGGTCTTCCCTATGTGGAGGAGCCTGTTCGTGGAGAAGGCTTTTCCATGGTCCTCAATGGCGAAGTCGAAATTGTTGCAACTATCATGGAAGAAGATGAAGAAGGTCAGGCGTATGACGGATATGATGAGGGTGACGATGAATTCGCTGGTTCGATGCCAAACAACATGGACGACACTGAGGATGTCATGCCCTCTGCGCCGATGGTCAAGAACGGCATGTATGCACATGGGAATATGCCCCCCACTGACGTGAACATCGCGCATTTGATGCCACGTGGCCCGCCCAACTCGCAGGGCGGTCCTATGATCGCTCAGATGCATTCTCCTGTTTCCTTCGAGAACCCGGAAATGCCTTCAATTTACGAACCTCGGGTGAATTTTGCTGCAGCCCCTTACATCGAACAACACCATTCCGCTATGGACCAACATAACATGAAAGCGTGGTCGAACATGTACAACGCCTATCACCCTCAACATCCCCAACAACACGCGGTGCAGCGTAACTTAATCACACCTCCCAATGGCTCGCACAGCATGGGATCGTCGGCAACGACCGGACATCACTTTGGGGACCAAGCGGCCCTTGCCAACCTCAAACGGCAGCAAATGCTTGCGCTCCAACAGCAGCACGGTGCCATGGGGTATGTCGCCGATGCTGACGACACATCATCCGTCGGATCTGGTCACAGCAGCCCTGGGTCTGGATACGGCTCACCATCCCATGGAGCTTCGTCTATGGGCTACGAGATTGCGAATGCCCTCCCCGATTATGGTCTACCCAAAAGGCTGAGCCTGGGGAGCCTCCACATCAACACTGGTATCGCAGGGTCGTGGAGCGGCAGGGTCGAGGATGGCATGGGGTCCATGATGACGAAGCAAGGTTTGGGCGTCCCGATAAACGTTGGCAATGGCGGAGTATATGGCATGATGATATGAGGCCTATGAGCTTTTAAGGCGTTACACACAATTCCCGTGCCGTGCACGGACGCCTTGGGACTTCAGGACGAAGTATCGCCTTCTCTTCTGCTTGCTATGCTCTGACCGCATCTTGTTGTCTACGTTTTGATAACCCACTCCTCATTTTGTCTCAGTGACCACTTGCTTGATCATTATAATTATGCGTAGCTTCATCGACTTGCACGCGTTCGCTTTCGTTGTATGTTTTGTCTTCTATCTATGTAACACTAACCACCGAGTAACGAAACCCTCCTTTTTGACCTCACCAAAACTTGCAGTATAAACGCTCTTTACCGTTACTCATTTGGTGTTTTGTATCATCTTTGTCGAATCAAAAGTGTACCACATAGATACGCTCCGTTAACGTAAAAGGCGGGCGTCCCCCTAGGATCACAGGATATGGGCGCCGTGTTTGTCGTTTGGCTACATTACCCATTACTTATAATTCTAGATTTACATGTACCATGGACCCTGTTGGTGTGCTCGGCCATCTCAATACTGATTCTCATTCCCATCTTTGAGAACTTACCCAGAGTACCTTCTTGGAAACATTGTGCTTTTCCGCTTCAACATTTAAGCTCAAGAGTTTCTATCAGAAACAAGTTATTTTTGGGATCCGCAGGACTTTCATTTATGCTGAACTCCGCGACCACAAATCCTGAATATCTGCTAAGTCTAAATCAGGTACGCCACAATAGCGTAACATGGTATCTAACTGTACTTTGCAAACTTTATCACGACGTCGCGGATTAAGTGCTCACAAAGTACGCTATCCATCATGATATCATGCACTTTTGATAAAGCTAATACCGTTTCAGCGACATGGAAGCTCCAAACCCTGCAGCAACGTCGCCACGACGATTAGCTGTCCTCATCTCGGGAGCGGGTATGTATTGATCTCAATCGCAAGCGTACACCCTCATATCAGATCGTGACCACAGGAACTAACCTTCAAGCACTGATCGATGCACAGAACACATCGTCCCTGCCTAATACCCGCATCGTCCTTGTTCTTTCCAATCGCAAAAACGCACGTGGTCTGATACGCGCTTCCACCGCCTTGCCTCCGATCCCTACCGCATACCTCGGTCTTCAACCGTTCATTAAATCAAACCCCGGAAAGACGCGCGAGGACTATGATGTCGAGGTCGCGCGCATTGTGTTGCGCGCAAAGCCAGACGCAGTCGTGTGTGCGGGATGGATGCACATCGTGAGCGAGGGGTTCTTGGATGTGTTTAAGGGGACGCGGGTATTGGAGGGCGAGGAACTGCTTGCAAGGGAGGTACCTGTGATTAACATCCATCCGGCTTTGTTTGGACAATTTGATGGTGCGCATGCAATTGAAAGAGGCTTTGAGGCGTTCCAGAAGGGGGAGGTGGATGAGCTGGGCGTGATGGTGCATCGTGTGGTCAAAGAAGTCGATCGCGGGGAGCCATTGATCCAGAGAAGAGTGGAGGTGGTGAAAGGGGAGGCGATAGAGGCTTATGAGGGGAGGCTACATAAGGTAGAATGGGAGATTATTGTGGAGGCTACTCGAATAGTGTTGGATGAGGTGCAACCGCCCCTGTCAAGCGACGGTTCAAGTTAACATAATCAGGCCTGCGCGGTGGAAGGCCAACTTGCACAATTAGATCTAGGAAGTAACAAAAGAGAAACCAAGATACAGTAAACATTAGAATACAAGAATACACTATGCAAATTAGTCTACGGGCAGACAATAGGTCTGATTAACGCGAGGGTAAGATACCATTTATCTATATCACAAATTTATGCTCAGAACGGGAACCGCATAGGGCGTGAGTCGTCCTGGTTTCTATAATGCGAAGGATAGCTATCACTGCGAGTACATCGTCAGCCGTCTCAGACTTCAAGAAGCCAAATCTGGACAACAGACCTAGATAGTATGTGATCCTGATGTGGCACAATGGCATTTGGAGCACGTCGGTGATAGGGAGGAGGTGACAACACATTCACGATCATTGGCGACGAAAGCCTGCCATTTCCAGATATTTTATCTTGATCCTCCTGTTCAAGATCTTCTTCGGGCCAGAACCGATCAGTAATTTTTTGCCCGAGTGGAGGCTGCGTCAAACGGTCAGAATCAATCAATCAGATTGAACGGAAACAAACTTACAGCAAATGTGAACACCGAAGGGCAAATAGGACTCGCAGGTGTCACAATAACACCGGGGACGGTCGATTCGGCACTTGACTCAGAGCTCACAGGTTTCGGACTGGATTCCGTGTCCCGGGAAGACCAGGAAGATAACGAGGACGAGGATAACTTCAGCGATGGAAGTAAAGACCTGCGCTTTGTGGCCCTGGAAGTGAAGGACGATTTTTGCGTACGGGTGGACGAAAGAGAGCTCCTGCGCTTCAGGGTAAGATGATTCGGCAAGAAGAATTCGGAAACGGAGGGTGCGTGCATTCGAAGTTTAATGCTGCGTTGAAGACGTGTAAACACAGAAGGAATGGAGAGAAAGCTTGTAGAGACGGGTTCTGAAAAGGGCATATCACGAGGATTCGTCGAGATCTAGATGACTGCGAATGACACTACACGGGGTCACTGGCAGGCAAGGAGAACGATGAGGAAGCTTTATAGTCCAGTGCTAACGTCGAGGTGTCCCATCGTCCACGTCCACATCCACATCCACAGATAAAGTGAGAGTGGGCTTTTGTACTGATGGTCATGGTGTGGCCAAAGCGGTGGCGCCCATGGTATGGACCTGTGTGCTTGGCATTGTCCTGCGTACGGAACGAATCGCGGATTGACATATCTATTATAAGCATGGGTGTTTGATGGCTGTGTATGCATGTATATGAATGAAAGAACACTTGCGTGCAGCTGCGGGCTAGCGAGCCTGCAGGCATAATTACCGAATAACATCTTCGATCGAGATCTGCGGCCGGTGGCCCGGCGACAATGACACCAGCGCAACCGGTAACTTGCGCCACAGCGAAGATCTAGTGGCTTTGTAGTGGCTACGTCTGGGACTATGAGTCACCGACGTCAAATGTGGAATAGCCATAGCGATGCTGTCAAGCTGGGCATGTGCTCAACTAACTAACCACCAACCCGGCTATCCGCTCGAACCACTGGGTCAGTGCAGCGACCTTCTTGACGGCGGCGTCGCTTTTCCCGAGCCGGAGGTCCGGCCGGAGACGATTATCCTCGCGTGTGTAAGGCATGGTGCGAAAGCAAATCTCCGCGGTGGGCTTGTTATATGGAGAAGCGGTAAGGGTGATCGAGCTGCCTGGCTCGCACGTTGGCGCGAGGTCTGTGATGTGAAGTAACGTGGGTCCACGCAATGCGATCCCAAGGGTGATACGATACGCACTTTCTAGATAAATTATATCTCCACGCTTGACGCCCAGTGCACCCCAAGCCTCTGCAACATCACGCCATGCGGTGAGCTTGCATACTGATCCATCTTCATCACCCAGAATCATTTTGAGAACAGAAACTTCCTTCCCTGCGTCCGGGCCTTTCTTCACACACACTGTATCAGGGCCTTCCACCTCTAGCGTGGCGAGTAATACATTCACTTTTCTCCCTCTGGCAATTTTTTGGTTGTAGAGGGATGCAAGAGACGAGACCTTATGAAGGCTAATCTGAAAATGCGGGAAGCGAGCTATAGAAGACGCGTCTGAGTAAGACACAAAGGTGGTTTCCTGTGTTTGATCTATTGCAAGCTGAGACCGGGACTGGGACTGCGATACGCGCAGGAAGGAAGGCACATCAACGGTGTCTGCAACAGGGGTCGGAGGCCAGGTTATCACCGTCGTCTGCTCTATTTGCACGTATATGAAGTGGAACTCGCGATCGTGGAGCTATGCAATAAACGTACCATTCATCAAAAACTGGCTTCCCTCAGGCCATGCGCTCTTGTCAACACGCTCCTGATCAAGGGCTTCTTCATCACAGTCGTCGAATATAATGTTCTGGTAGAGCAGAGATATTCGTCTGCTCGCAGCCTCCGATGTTGCAGGAGGATATAGTAGTGCTTGGGAGGCTTCTGCTGAAGGATGCTCGATAGTCTTCCAGGTGTACGAACCAGCTGAATTGTTTTTGAGATCACGGACAGATGGGGCGCCGAGGAAGACTCTGAAATGTGTCATCTTAGGAAGGTCTCGGGAGAGAATTACAACTTGGTAGTACTATTTTTAGACTCCGTAATTGAAGTAAATCCAAGCTCAAACGTTAGTGAAGTGCCCTTTCAATTGCCAGTTTGTATTCACTACAACATGTCTGGTATGTTCAAGTTCATGTGAATAAGTTGGGCTGTGTAACATACTGAGTGATCGTTGCAAATTAACTTGTAAGGAGGTCTGTTGTTCAAGATCGTTTTAGCAACCGTTCACGGTCATGATCATACCTTATTACTGCTTGGCTTGGTTGACACAGTCCCATTCAAGCTTAATAGAGCGTACGTGCGGGTACCCAAAATGATCCAAGTCAATCTTCTTGGGAACGCCGAAGACGAAGCACTGATCGTAGCTAAGTTTGCTTGGGAACGACTGCGGCTGTGATAGTAGAACATCTTCGCTTATTTTACGGTGATAACTCCTAGATCTCATCGTAGACGCTCCGAAGTGTATAGCGCCGTTTATTGAAATGATTGGTCTGCGGCCGATGCACGCAGACCTCAGGTTGGTATATCTCAAATTCGTACTGCCTGTTCCCATCAGAATCGCTGATAGTAAAATGAAAATGATTCCTCGCGGGCATATCAAAGAACATAGAACGTTACATTCTTTTCTTCTATCCACGCAATGGGCCCGGCCTGGTACAGATGCCAACCAGCGTCAATTTTGAGCAGAAGATGGCGATCACGAGCTCTCATCCCAATCAGCGCCACATCCGTTACCGTCAGGAACGCACTGCCCATCAAATCAGAAAGAACTCGAACATCAAATTTCTAAAATGGCTGAAGGCCACTTTGGTTTGGATTGCGCTCTTGTGGATTGTAAGGTCCGTTGTAGAGGATGTCACCAAGTGCCTCGCCTGGCCAGCGGCTTGGATGACATGATTGGATTGCAATTACGCCAGCTACATCTTGCAACGAAGATCGGAACCTCTGTGGTCTAATTCAATCGTGTGATCCCGATGGGACGAGAATATTGTGTCTGGTGGCTCACTGGTCAAACGATGTCGACGTTAAGGTTCCTTCCAGCTCCAACTGTAAACATTTTGTGCAAAAGCAGCTACGGTGAAAGTGGAAGCGAGGAAGATATCTGAAGTCCTCATCACAGTCCCACAATATATTGGCAGGGAGACTGAAGTTGAAGGATATTTTCAGGTACTGCCGACCTTTATAGCATGCATTCTTGATGGGTATGTCGCGCCGTTCAAGGTTCGGGTCAAGCGTGAGGCTGTGGAGCTCGATGTATGTGTATTCGTAATTTTCAGATCTAGATGAAATGTCCTTGTGCAGCGACAGGCGTGTCCATATGGTGGGGCGGTCAGGGGTTTCCGGGATGATCATGACATCTGTGAATGGATCATGTTTCCATTACATCCATTTCTTCTTTCCAAGTCGTCCGTCCTGGCAATTAAGAACGTGATGGAGCGCCAAGCATCATTCCAGTTGCCAAAGTGATACTGCAATACAATGAATCGTGCCATATGCAGCGAAATAAGCTAGTTCACTAGTACCAATATTTTTTTATCTCCATTTAAGGCGGTCTAACCATACTCAGTATTGACTCTACACCAGTATGCAACACGTACCCCAATGAGGGAAACATGGGTGACGGTAAGGTGGGCTACTGTGACTTATAGATTGAGGAATCCTAATGTTGTAGTCTTCGCTCGGTTGCTTGAAGTTCATGCGGGGATTATATGGACCACTAACACCAATTTCGCCTAGCGCTTCAGCCTGAAGGGCACAAAGATTCCATGTGCATGAGCGGATGGCAACGACACGACACCTCGGAAGCAGACAATGAGTCCCTGTACAACGTAAAATCGAGATTGTACCTGGAGAGGACTCATTAACTTACTGGTTTCCCAATAGTGATCGTTATATATTTTTTCCTGGAGACAGTCGTGCCCGCTAATGGTGACATTATGAAGACCTATTATGCAGAAGAAATGCTCAAAAAAGCAAGGCGACGATCGGGTTGACGACTCTCATTTTGAGAAGTGGATGTAGTGGGTTATCCTGAAATAATACTCAGTTGTCGTGCGTCTTACTATATATCTGCGAAATTCGTCATTCTGCATGTGAGCAGGTTCGAGAAAGGCCCCTACGAAAGTGACGTACAGCTTGAGAACCATACCTACAAGGAGAGAAAGGCTATGGAAGGAGAACAGCAAAATGCTTAGGTTCAGCGTGACTGCGCAGTTGGGGTCTTGCGCCACTGGCAAGTAGGAAGAAGACGTCTGCAGCATGTAGTAGTAGGTCCGGGCGAATCTGATGCGTAGCCTGCACAAGAGTCAATCGCGGTTATGTGGAAAGCTTATGTGGCTGTAAATGGGCCTTAGCATCAAAAATCGAGTTAATCACGGACTGCTTGTGGGTGGAGCGTAAGTTGCATTTGCGTCGATTTCTAATCGTTTACGCAATTTGCTGATCTTAAACTTAGTTTCAACAGTCAACTGCACACCAGTCACCTAGTCACTACTAACCAGTCCTAGTCAACTTTGAGTCTGCTGCGTTCAGCCAGCTCACTCGTACACGCATTGATCATAGCCTTCAACATTTAACTTCGAATGAAAGCTATGCATGTTATGAGCATTTTCCGAATGTCGCCGGCTCCATTGACATGAGAAGTATTCCTGTGTTCACTAGGCTGGAATGGATTATTACCGATCAAGTCAATGGTCGGCTCAAGTTGTCAACGGAGCAATATTTGATGGCACAGCGTCCTGGAATTTTCTGACACGTATGGGTTCAAAGTTGCGGCGAATGCTGCCCTCTCGCCCAAAGCCAAAAGCATGCTGCATATAAAAGGGTGAGCTTTCATCGTCTTCATCAATTCTACAAAATCATTCATCATGAAGTCAATTCTCTCCCTCGCTCTTTTTGTAGCTTCTGCTTTTGCTCAGGGCGCTGTAATTGGATACCCTCCGCAAGGTCTTTCAGTCTCTCCTGGAAGCAATTTGGTTGTTCAGGTAGAGAGACCTGTGAGTTTCTGACATGCAATCATGCCTGTTCCTCAATTAATGCTTGTTTTTACAGGATACATTGACGGGTTCTGTGGAAGTTGCTGTCGTCATTGGCATACAGTCATGCCCAGGAACGCCATGCATTGACCCTGCTGATTACATGGGTCAAATTTTGTACAACGGTCCCTTCGACCCACAGTTCCATGAGACATACCTTCCCCCTTATGAAAACTTCACAGTTCAAATTCCGAGTAGCATTGCCAGCGGAACCGCTCTTCTTGGGGTTGTTCATGTCACTCTTGTGGGAGTGAGTGTCCTGAACATTATTCAAAAGTGCTCGCAACTAATGTTATGGTTTAGGCTTCAGCGGGCCCTTTGATGGAGATTCTGAACCGCACCATCACAATTTCATGATCATGTTTCTCATTTCATCGTTGTGGACCTTTTGAGACTATTTGGATATAGACGCTGTATTGCAGTATCGCACACATACATATAAATTGGTTTATAGTACATGTTTTTGTAATTCCTACGACGTCCTACGTCCTATTCAAGTGCTTACGAATTCTCGCGACTGTGTTGCATGTCATAATGTCACAGCGCTGCAGTACTTAGTACAAATCGTCGAACATATTTTCTTTCATGTGGCAAGAATTCCGAGGTGTTCCGGATACCCAAATTGGTTCATCGGGACGGACAGTCACGGACGGTCATTTCCAAGTTTACCTGTGACCCCATGTAGCCTATTTTCGCATTCATCGTCACATAGGACGAACGACTATCTTCCTTCTATTTGGTGACCGGTCTAGCTACAGGAGACTATTCAGCACTATGGCAAAGCCAAGCTTAAACATTTTGCCTCAAAACTAAGTTAGTTTCACTGCGGCATTCCCTTGACATGCAGCTGTGGACAAGTCCGGACCGGAGACGCCGAGACGCCCGAGACGCACCCTCAGCCTAGCGAGCTATGGATTCTTGCACGGCGGGCGGCGTTGATGCTCCGAGTAAAATGGTGTAGTACAAACCTTCTCGTTAGATCGATTGTCGTGCCTGATTTCATTGCATAGAGGTGTAATACCCTGCCATGGCTCGCCTACTGGTAGAGCCTATCGCTCACTAGTAAGGCTAAATAGTGCTCGACTCATCATTCCCCGGAGAGAGCGCGTTATTGCTCACATCATTCCAATGGTATCCGCCATTCCGAATGCGCACCCCTTACGCTAGTAACCATCACTAATAATAGCATCAGAAGTAATACTCAAACTTAAATCAAAACATGGAACGTTCCTCATCCAAATCACATTTTTCAGGACACGGGCAAGAAGACCTTCGATGCATCAAAACAGCGAACGCATGCACAGTCATAATGCCTTTCGCGACACCTGCAAATAGTCATTACGGTTATTATTCACCGAGACCATTGCCTCATTCCGATTCCACCGGTCAACTGGATCGGTTGCCTTACCTGCTTGACAGTAACATGAATCATGCTTTAAAATGATGATTACAGCCAATAATTGTAAGTAGTTGTCACCTCATCCGAAACCATACTACGGAGCCAATTTGCGTTTAGCTCTGATCAATTCTTGTAGAACTAGATGAGCACTTGACAGAAAATATATGTCAGCTTCATTTGCCCGTTGGGCGGCACCTACTGCTTTTTTTCCACACACGTGCCCTTTTCCGAGCTTAGCTCATGGCACCGACTGCGGATAGCTAACCCACACAGCAACATCGCGGACACCGGATTCGGGTAGGTAAGTAGTACGACATCAACCTTGCATCACTTGGATATTCACAATCCCCAGGTTAGTCAACGGTATATCTTCATTATTGTGGCGTTTACATCTCCGTTATGGTGCTATGCATTTGCATGAGGTGCTGACATCCCTATAGATGCCCTGTATATGGTTTCGAGACTACCAAATGTAGCACCCGCTCAGCGCATATAAACTTCGGCACTGCGACACATTCACCATCTCTTCAGAAACTGCACGCTCACAGTTGCAATGTACTTCCTAATCAAAGCAATAGTTGTCACCATTCTCATGGTAGTGTCTGTTTGCGCTCAGAACGCCTACATTAACCTGCCTGCGCCTGGCTCCGATATTACTGCAGGCACCAACTTTACTGTGCAAATAGGCCTCCCGGTGAGCTCTCAAACATGCATCCTTTAGAGTATGATTTTCAACCACTTACATTATCAGAACAATCTCACTGGCAGTAAGGAGATAGCGATTGTAATTGCTATTCAGTCTTGCCCAACTGGAGACTGTCTGCCCATTAGTGAGGATATGGGTACCATCTTGTACGAAGGCCCGTTCAATCCTCAGTATGGGCCGGGCGCGGAAGACCCATATGAGGACTTCTCTGTTCAAGTCCCTGCATCCTTCGCTACCGGGCAAGCACAACTTGGACTTGCTCATTTTAACCTTATTGGAGTACGTTGTTCCCTAGTTACATTTGATGTACAGATCTGACACGTGTTGCAGGAGCTTTACTGGCCGTACTTACAACTCGTGAATGAGACTGTTTACGTTGTTTAGGTGACCCTGCACCAAGGCTGTACAATATATATGATCTACGCAGTTGATGTAATACACGATGCCTGCCGCGTTGAAAGTTTGTTCCAGAGTGCGGTTGCCCATCAAAATAATCACCATACCGATTGGTTCATGTAAGGCTACCTGTACGATCTGCAAGGGTTTTCCATATCGCTAAGCTGCATAGCTCGAGACCGGAATACTGAACCGATCTCTCCATGAAGTTTGCCGCATGTCGTGGTAGGCATCTTCCTCCCTTTTAGGATATCTTCATTGTAGCCATCAGTTCGAGGTCCAGAGTTTGCTTCCATTGCCCCCGAAATCTTATTCGAAGATGGAAAGTCTTGGTCATCCCGAACAAAGCTCATATCACGTTTCGGACGACCGTCGATGAATACGGCGTTGATATTAGCACCACGAGGCAGGCGATGATGTAAGCGTGTGTGGTACGCTCTAGAGCATTCTGAGACCATCACCGACGACACAACCAACTTTGTACAGTATCGTAGCTGCCTTTTGAGAAGGTGGACTTATTCGTAGATTGGTTTCGCTTTTCGCGCAGTCGACAAGCACAGAAACTAACCCATTGAAATGCCGGAAATGTGATTTTCTAGAAGACTGGCATCTGATACCAACAACAGCCATCGATGTGGCAGATGCGGGCCCCTGACTGAGTGGCAGCGATCTGACTGATTTGTAATACGGATCTGATAGATCAAAAAAATTGGCGATTTCCAAGGATTTTAGATCATCAACACAAAAAGGTCGAGTAACTCACTCCATGAAATCGATGTTGTGAGAGGACGAGATCTATATGTGCGCCACGAAGGCAAACCCCAGGCCAGGTCCTAACGTGTCAATATAGATGCTGCTGATAAAAATACAGGATGTGAATATTGTCGTCTGGCAGTGTTAAGACCTCCGACCGCACGAGAGATCAAGTTCACTTTTAAAATAGAGCTTGTTGGTTATACCTTTGCAACAATATATATGTGAACGTGGCATGCGCTATGGACATGCGGCGTTGGCTCGCCCCAACCCGAACTCAAGTTGGTAACGACAATTGGACACGGTGGCCTCTGGCTTGACGTTCTGATGCTAGATCCTGGAAAAAAAATTAAATGTAAACCGGTGAGGGAAAGCTGCGAAGATACGAAGAGAAAAGAAGTAACAAGAAGCGGGATGGAAAGGCCGGTGTGGAGTGAATCGTGGATAATACGGTGTCCAAACACGTTGAGGCAACATGCTGTTAGGTAGCGATGAGGATACTTATAGAGGGAAAGCTGGGAAGAAGCCAGAAATCGAAAGGGAGAGAGGGAGGGAGAATTCAGGAGCGCTGGCCCCCTAGAGGGGAATCGTACGTGAAAAAAATAAAATTACAAAATCATTATATTGTATACGTACATGGGACTAGTGGGCAGGAGAGGTGGCCGAGAAGTTGTGGAGAGAAGGGAAGTACGGTGGCGAATCAATATGATTACACTAGCGAAGCTAACTAGTAGCTTCGAGGCACCGTGACAAGGAACTGTATCAAAGCCAGGGATCAACATTAGGTGATATGCATTTAGCAGGGGAGTGCTAAAGATACATTGCAAAGGATCATGCAAGAACAACTGCACGGATGAGCGTCCGAATGATACAAAATGCGCGACGAGTACACGTGGACCATGAGAATAAAAGATGAAAGACAACAACACATGTGTGAGTAAAGGCAAAACATAACTAGCATGAGCTAGAGCGACTCGATAAACTTTGTGCCTCCCTCAAAAGTCCGCACTGATGTCGATGATTGTGTAGAGAAATGACGGTGGTCGGGCGGGTGCACCTCTTCGTCATCCACACTTGCATCTCGATGCGATCCAGGGGACATAGGTGAGCTCGACAGCGAGAGCGGTGACTGAGACCGTGCAAAAGTCACCCGCTGTGGCGATGTCACATGCAATGGGCCCTTTGCGTACGAATCCCCATAATGCATCGGTGCATACGACTCCGCATCTGACAGCGGTGAGTCGATTTCTGGGACCTGGGGGCTGTAAGGTCCCTCTTGAAAAGACCTGGAAAAGGGTTCCATGGGCTGCTGTGCCCTACGTTCTTCACCGTGATCTGAATTAATCTCCCATTCATCACCTGAGCCAGCTTGGATCCAGCTACGCCCACCTCGTCGTCCGCCGCTTCTGCTCCTACTACTCCATCTATCTGCCCATACTCCACGGAGCTTGTCCCCAAAGGAGCTCTGTTCCGCTGTTGAATCGTGTGCTTGGAGGTCGCGGTTACGGCGGTAGTGCTCACGGCGGGCATTGCGATCTTGTTCGGAGGGTTCATGATTGCGGAGGAGGAAGAAGACTGCAATACAGCAGATGATAATGAGCAAGCTCAAAGCGACAACAAGTCCGATGAAACCTGTTGGAGATTGATATATGAGATATTACTCGTACAATTACATGTTGGAGCAGAGCAGGGGAAACCACATACCGCCTTGTGAACCGCCAATTTCCGGGACTGCTCGTCTGCTTAACATGGCGGTATCGTGGGCTAGACTGTCTACAGATATAAAGAAGAAGCAGGTAACAAATAGTGTAGCGTATGGTGAACCCCTCGTGAACATGGTTAGGATGGCGCGAATTGTTCACTCTGGAGGTGATGATGGAGCAGCTTCTCAAAACTGGGTGAGAGACTGGGTCACTAGGGTGAATAGCGCTGGGCAGTTTGACACGGCGATTTGAAAACCGTGTGTGAGGTGTAACTTGACGCTGGCATGCGCATTGCGCACGCCAGTGCCACGAATAAACTTTGACCAAGGTTCAGTCCGGTCGGCTTTCGGAGTATCGCCGAGCTTCGTTGCACTCGTCCAACAAGTTACAACTTGAGCGCTCAGTAGGTCTCTAAAATTCTTAAAATTAGCATTCATTTTGGTGGAAAGAAATCGAAGATAGATGTATCAGCGATATAATCATACTATAGAGAGTTTTGGCGGATAGACGAGGGGATATCAGAAATAATGTTATGTCAATGACAACATATCCGAGTCATTAACCAATTGTTATCGTACGAGGTATAGGTAGGAGAAAATTGTTCATGGACGTGTAAATTCTGAGTGATAAATTACGAGAGATAAACAGTTTGGTGAGTTGGAGTCGAGGAAGATAAACGAAGTGATCCCTTTAATCTGGAACGACGACTGAACGCTCGATGTCGTGAGACTGTACCATTTTGGGTGGGCACTAAGTGGAAGACGTGTTCTTCTTCGAGTTGGCAGAGTCCCAACCTGGAAGAGAATTGATGAGGTATATTTGTACGTGACGAGTTCGAAGGTTTGTAGTGATCTTCTGCGACCAGCCACTCGGAAATTAGTTGCATTCTGATCCGAAATTTATAGTCGTGTCGGTATCAGTGATAGTCAGAACCGCATGAAATGGAGAACGTTAACCTTCGAGTTGTGTTATGTGCCAGCTTCTCGTGAGTAATGAGTTTGGTAGCCTACTCATTGATATCGCAGAACATAACCCGCAATCACCGTCAAACATGATCGAGCTGGAAGTGAGCAAGAAGGTCTTCATCATGATGATGGTCACGTTCAGTTGATTCAATATCGAAACAGATCTGGACATCGCGAGTTGAGTTTTTCTTCTACAAAATTGAACCACACCTATGATAACAATCTGGATCCACTGGCAGTTCTATCATATGTTGATTCCCATTATGCAATGACAACATTAATTTCAACGACATTCCGCTACTATTCTGCGCTGTGATTATTGGTGGTCGTGAATAAATATGTAGTACTTACCTAGTACTCACGCGGATTCAGCGGTGCAGCTGCCAATTGTCCTTGACGCAAACCAACGCTTTCAGGATTGTGAGGCATCCACATCGTCACATAATGTACCACGGATTGCAACACTCACGAGGTGGACGAAAAGGTTAAGGGATCCCGGACTCCGACTCTATTCAGAAGTTGATTACAAATTCACTCCGACAACTGCCAGTTACTCATGTCCCGATATTATATGACAGAATCCTTCCATAACGCTATTTTCTTAATCATACGTGTCATTATTTCAATCAACATCACAGTCGCCTTCGAACGCGCAAAATTATTACGACGTCGGTTTACTTCGGTTTCACGAATTTCGTGATGTGAATGAATTTTTGACACCATCAAGGTGTGAACCGCATCAGAGCTCAAATCTTTCAAATCGCGTCTTGGATTGGTGCAATCACAGAGACGCAGCTGAAGCACTGATAAATGTCTGGCAGCTTGACCAACACTGTATTACCCTTGCCGCTTGCGTCTTCTCAGTACTCCGGGATCAGGTCAACGGTTTTGGCATGATCAAGCTATCAAAGAACCGCGCTTACATTGCAAAGACGTCTCGTCATCGAAGCCATTAGCCACGTCGCTCTCCTGTAACATCAGAACACTCGCGCTCCGCCTTCCAATGTCTGTGCCTTCGGCACATTCACATTTGGTGTTGCATGTTGTAGCATTCTGGAATTGTAACGGGTACTTTCGCATCGTATGAAACGCAGTACGATGTTTTATTCAACTTGAAGTGCTGCTATTGACTGTGTTCACAAAATAACGGAAATAGGTCAGAGCACAAACTTTAGTGTTATTCTGTGAACTCAATTCCTTACATCTTCAGTTACATAAACGAAGTCGGTACTCAAGTACTCGCCTTCGAGTTCGAACATAACGAGAGTTCTTCGCGAATCCGATTTTTTCAACATCTTCACCCAACCTTTTTTTTCGTCGCCTCCGGCGACATGGTAGGCCGAGTCGAACATGATGAGACCGATGCTCCGTATGTCGGCTGTATTATGTATGCGACACGAAGTTTACGCTCATACGAACATCATCCTAGGTTGCTCGAGCTCAGTCATCGATTTTTCCACCAATCATTTACCACCCGTTTATGGGCTAACCTTGTAGAAGGTCGATTCGGTACAGATGCCGTGAGGTATTCGACTATTGACATTCCACTTTCAGCTCCCGTTCTGAAGTCTACAGTTGATAGTTCAATTGTTCATTTACAGGTCAGTTCACTTCGCAACATGGTTGACGTGATAGCTGACGATCACGGCCCCGAATTCCATACTGCTGGCAAGGCCTCCTTGTGTGCGCGAAAGTTCTTTGGAGGTAATGTGAGCGAGGGGGATTCACGAGGGTGCAAGCTTATACCAGTGGGATGGCAAGTCCTCAGCTTCCGTACCAAGTACACCCTACTTACCGTAGTTCTAGCCGAATTCTTTGCACCAGATGCGCTCTGACGAGATATAATTCGGCCTGAATTAACCCATAGAAGCAGGATTGTTCAGTCAGAGAGCCCGCTGCATGAATCTTGAAATTCATGTCATGCCGGCCACTAGTAACGTCACACCTTACAAATGGATTCCGATATGATTCTAGGAGCACTTTGCAAGCGAACCATAACATGCCTTCCTCGTAAGTATCAGACGCCCATTACAGTTTATTTGTTGATCCGCTTCCACGACATTTGATTAGGTTGAGTCATTTCACGAGGGCATAGAAAGAATTGTTACAGCAAGGGAAGCAACTTGAGGTTCGTACAAGCTAGACACGATACACGGACCCGAAATTATCCTGATATCTGTTCTTACGATGGTGACGTCCTTGTTTGTGGCAAGCGAGTCGCATATTGTCTTCTTCTCAATTAAACTGTTTGGATCGAAGTACTGCTCTTTTCGTCAGGTGGTTTGGAGGGGTATAAAAGTTCCTGCGACTCTGAATGGATCCGATATCGATACTGGTCACTCCTCCCGATCTCAATATGCAGCTCTCACATGCTTTCACGACACTCATGGCCTTCGTCGTTATTGCTGCGGCATATCCAGCACCACATTTGTTGATGAGACGTGAGTTCATATGTCGCCCGACTTAGTCAGATCAATGCTGATATGCCGTGTAGCGTTGGCTAGGCGCGAGGTGCTTACCTCTAACTTCGATGTTCACAAAAACACTAGGGCTGTCGGCTCTCCCAGCCCAGTCACCCCACTCATCACGCCCAACCCTAACGTTGATTCGCCTCACGCGGACTCGCCTCATGGAGTTGGGAAGTACGGGGAACTTGACTCCAACTTTCCTATCAGTAGCAACGGACCTGAATCTAGGGACCTCAGCCCTCCCAGTGCTCCCGGAGCGCCTGACTCGCCCAACTTGCCTGGGACGCGCGCAGTGTTTGACTCCAACTTTCCTATCAGTAGCAATGGGCCTGAATCTAGGGACCTCGGCGCGCCCGACTCGCCTAACAAGCGCGTGGAGCTTGATAACACCACCTGTTCCGAACCTACTCTACCTACAGGGGGTGAGTCGTCTAGCAAGCGTGACAATACAACCACCTGTCCTCCCGCACCTACCGCACCTACCATGCCCACAGCGCCTGATTCGTCTAGCAAGCGCGAAGAGGTTGGCTCCACCACAACCACCTGTCCTACCGCACCTACAGGGGGTGACGAGTCTAGCAAGCGTCAGGAGCCTGGTAACACGACCACCTGCACTCCTGCAACCACAGGGGGTGACGAGTCTAGCAAGCGTGAGGTTGGCTCCAACACAACCCCCTGTCCTACCGCACCTACAGGGGGTGACGAGTCTAGCAAGCGCCAGGAGCCTGGTAACACAACCACCTGCACTCCTGCAACCACAGGGGGTGACGAGTCTAGCAAGCGTGAGGTTGGCTCCAACACAACCCCTTGTCCTACCGCACCTACAGGGGGTGATGAGTCTAGCAAGCGTCAGGAGCCTGGTAACACAACCACCTGCACTCCTGCAACCACAGGGGGTGACGAGTCTAGCAAGCGTGAGGTTGGCTCCAACACAACCCCTTGTCCTACCGCACCTACAGGGGGTGATGAGTCTAGCAAGCGTCAAGAGCCTGGTAACACGACCACCTGCACTCCTGCAACCACAGGAGGTGACGAGTCTAGCAAGCGCCAGGAGCTTGACTCCAACACTACCACGTGCCCTACTGCACCTACCCTACCTGCAGGGGGTACCGAATCTAGCAAGCGTGAGGAGCTCGACTCCAACACGACCACCTGTCCTACCGCACCTACCCTACCTGCAGGAGGTACCGAGTCTAGCAAACGCGAGGAGCATCACTCCAACGTTCCTGGCACACCTAGTGCGCCTAACACTAGGGACGTCGGCCTGTTCGACGATAGCTCTCCCAGCTCTCCCGGTTCTCCCAGCTCTCCCGGTTCCCCCAGCTCTCCCGGTTCCCCTAGCACGCCCGACTCGCGCGACGTGCACTCACTTAACAAGCGCGTAGAGCTGGATTCCAACGGTCCTCCCACACCTGATGCGCCGTTCACTAGAGACAACAGCCACCTAAGCTCTCTCAGCTCTCCCGACTCTCTCAGGTCTTCCAACTCTCTTAGCTCTCCCAGCTCTCCCAGCACTCCCAGCACTCCTGACGGGCCTGACAAGCGCGGAGAGCTTGACTCCAACGGTCCTAGCAAACCTCAGATGCCAAACAAGCGCACGGTGCTAGACTCTCA